TGTCAAGGTTAAGTGAAGGTCAGGTCAAGGTCACTAACCTTAGATGACCTTGGTTGACTTAGAAGTTTCTAGAAAGTTCCTTCAAGGAAGTTTTTTGGCTGATTCCAAATTAACCCGCGCCCCACGGGGGGGGGCTATTCATAGCCCCCTCCCGTTTTTCTGCAATCCCTTCCAAACCGCTTGACGTATCGACGACAAATTTCCGTACCTTCGGCTGCAGTAAGTTGACACCTTGTGTCAAAATTTGAACTTCGCATCTATCACAGGTCGGCCGGAAATGACGTCAGAGTGACGTCATGTTCGGCCGATTTTGACGCAAAACATTGAACCACGGCAATCGCTCCCAAGAGCTCAGTTTTTAAGCTAGATCCAATTTCTTTGCATGAGAGAACTCAGAATAGACTGTGCTATCAAACTGCTATCTCGGAGTTTCAAAATTATGAAAATTTTGAAAATTAAATATAATAAAATTCAAAATTTATATTTTTATATCTATTTCAAAACTTTTTACCTTTTCGAAATGAAAGGAAGATGTGTGATAGAACACATGCTTGTGACTTATTATGGCAGGGTTTTAGCTAAATATCTTCCTAAAAATGGCCAACTTATACGCATTATTGCAAAAAAAGTTTTTTGGTTATATCTCCCAAACGCTTTGAGCTAGGAAGCTCAAATTTTCTGACTTTTTCTAAAAGGCTTTTACGCAACATTTCTGAAAATTTTGAGTTGATCTGACCTCAGGTCAGGTCACCAGAGGCGGTTTGGTGACCCTACCTCAGAAAAGTTTGCAATCACGCCATAGCTAGAGTTTTTGACCGATCAATTTCTTCTCTTCAGGCTTTATTTAGGGTACCAGTATGTGCAATTTGTATATCTCAGAATATTCATATCTGTGCCCTGAGGTCAGGCCAGACTCGTGACCTTTACATTGCAAGCCTATGGGAAAATATTGAAACGCCTCCTGCTTCGTGTAAACGAGTCAAAACCACCCAGTTCTTTCAGTATTACGGAAGATTATCTCATCGGTGATGATCCTGGTGCCGCTAATTGACAGAGGCACCGGCAAAGGTCATCTGAGGTCATGTGACGTCATAAATCGTTTTTCTGTCAATAAACACGACATGATGGTGCTAAAGACTTGTAAGTGGTACCAAACTGCTCGCCTGGTCAAGGCGCGTCGTTTGGTATGCAGCATGACCATACCCCACAACCTCATTGATGAATGACCTGACCTTGACCTCAGGTCAAATTTTAAATTGACCTGTGAAGGTCATCACATACTTATTTCGCATCGCCTCGGCGAGAGCAACAAAAAATGTATTGGTTTTATGTCTCTATGTTTCTTAGTTTTAAAGTTATATAGGTAACTAATTCCAAAACATTTTATCGTTGATGACCTCTGGTGACCTCAATATTGACCTGACCTGAAAATGTTTTATGTAAAAGTTGTAGATCTTTAAACGACCTATCAAACGCCGTTCGCCGTTTGTCGCTGCGATGTGTAGTTTTTGAGATCTGAATGGGGGCAGAATCGGCCCCCCCCGCCAGTTTCTTGTCCCGGCGGAGCCCGCCAGGAATAGGGTTAACACCTGCTTGAACATTTACGAAGTATGTAGTTTTGGACTTTGGTGCCTATATGTAAATACGTAACATGTTGCGAAGATGTCAGTGGTATTTGAAACCTACCATGGATAGACGCGGGGACGTCTACTGGTTGACCTGATCTGACCTGCCCCGACCGATCCCAAATGCCTGAATACATTATCTTTGGGCAAAATAAATGCAAAAGTTTGAAATTAGGAAAAAGGAATGCAAAAAACTCACTTCACGAATCTCAGCAGGTCCCGATATACCCGATAGAAGGGCTATTGACCTGACCTGGAAGGCGAACCAATTACCTGGGACCTTGAAAGTTGGTGACATCAAAACGAATATCGGTAGTTTACTATAATTTTCCCGCTGTGGAGGAGTTGGGCCCCCTCCCCCTGCATTTTTTTTTTAACCCGCGCACCGACGGGGGTCTGCGCCAACTTAGTACCGACGGGGGGGGGGGCGGATGACCGCCCCCCCTGAGATCTCGAGAACGAAGCAAGATAGCGACAAGCGGTAAACGGCATCGGATACGCACGGACAAGGTCTACAATTTTTACTTAGGTCATTTTCAGGTCAGGTCAAAGATGACGTCACAGGGGTCGAAAAAGTCAAAATGGCGGCGCTAGATATGGAGAGGGTTTTTCTCGAATAACTTTCGAAGTAGCCAAGATAGGAACAAACTAAGGGCATCATCGTGATCCTCTCGTCAATCCGCATCGAATGATATATATGTTGACCTCGAAAGGTCAAGGTCAAAGGTTGACCTCAGGTCACGTGACCTCGAGGTCATCATGTATATCATTCGATGCGTCTTGACGAGCTGAACACAATGAGACCATCCGCGCGGCTGTATCTTGTTCCTGTAAGGAGTTATTGGCAAAAAACCTTTGGTGACCTTTGATGACGTCACATGACCTTACAGCTGCCCAACAGCAAAACAGACCTCAAGGTAGTGAAGGTTGCTCGTATGTGAAGTCATGTATGGTATATGGGGCCATTCCGACCCGTTTTAGTGGTAAAAACAGGGAGTTGATTTTTCCCCCATTGACTTATAATGGGGAGGTCGCGAAATTGACCTGACCTTAGGTCACCGACATCAAAATTCCGAGATATACAAATTGTAGCTACTAATGACCTAATAACATCCTGCGACTTTCAAAGGCCTCCGACATCTACTGTAGCTCTGGCACGGTGACAAAGTTGCAAAAAAGTGACTTGAGGTTGGGTCATTCAAAGTGACCTGGTGACCTGACCTTGAAAGTTAGGAGGTTCAAACTTGCACACCATGTGTAAAATTGATGAGGGAATAGTCATACCAAATTTCGCGGCGCTACGCGCCGCGGTTTTCCCGCTATCCGCGAAAAACCTCAGGGGGGGCGGATATCCGCCCCCCCCCCCCGTCGGTGCGCGGGTTAAGAATTTCACCAATTTTCAGGCCCAGTACGTTCAGGAAACGTTCAGGTGATGTCTAAGAAAGGTTAACCCGCGCACCGACGGGGGTCTGCGCCAACTTCGCACCGACGGGGGGGGGGGGCGGATGACCGCCCCCACCCCCTGAGATCTCGAGAATGAAGCAAGATAGCGACAAGCGATAAACGGCATCGGATACGCATTACGCACGGTCAAGCTCTACAATTTTTACTAAGGTCATTTTCAGGTCAGGTCAAAGATGACGTCACAGGGGTCGAAAAAGTCAAAATGGCGGCGCTACGGCATCTTTATGGCAGGGTGAGCCATAAAGATTTACCCATCGATAAATTCACTTTAGTTCCAAACGGGTTGGCGTAGGTATGCCATCTTTTGCATATATGTCGCAAATTTGTCTCCAATCCTGACAGTGTAGCTCATTTTGTATATGCTCGTCCACTGTCTCTGCTACGCTCCTGAAATGCGAGGTAGTCTTAACGCACATCCGCCGCTCCTGAAATTCAGGAATCACCACGGTGTTGGCTGCTGAACACTCCTTGGTCTAAAGAATGCTGGGCACAATTTACCCCCTACTTCAGCCCCACGGGCTTCGCAAACTGAAATATCCTGAAAACCCGACTCTACCGAGTCCCTGAAACACCGCAAATGACATACGGCGCAGCATTGTTATAGCATGGGTGATCGAGGAAAATAAGTGAAAAGACAGTGCGGCGGCCGCGTGCCATAGTGCTCTTGCGTCTCGGGCGCGTAACATAAGAAGAATGCAAGCATACAGAAAACAGACTAAATTTATTAGTTAGGAGATGACGTTGTTATATGTATGTAAAAGATGACATAGCTATGTCAGCGCGCCTTGAAACAAAGTTAAATTTTCGATGGGTAAATCTTTATGGCTCACCCTGTAGATATGGAGAGAGTTTTTCTCGAATAACTTTCGAATTAGTCAAGATAGGAACAAACTAAGTGCATCATCGTGATCCTCTCGTCAATCCGCATCGAATGATATATATGTTGACCTCGAAAGGTCAAGGTCAAAGGTTGACCTCAGGTCACGTGACCTCGAGGTCATCATGCATATCATTCAATGCTTCTTGACGAGCTGAACACAATGAGACCATCCACGCGGCTGTATCTTGTTCCTGTACGGAGTTATTGGCCAAAAACCTTTGGTGACCTTTGATGACATCACATGACCTCACAGCTGCCCAACAGCAAAACAGACCTCAAGGTAGTGAAGGTTGATCGTATATGAAGTCATGTATGGAATATGGGGCCATTCCGACCCGTTTTAGTGGTAAAAACAGGGATTTGATTTTTCCCCCATTGACTTATAATGGGGAGGTCGCGAAATTGACCTGACCTTAGGTCACCGATAGCTATTCGCGAAAAACCTCAGGGGGGCGGATATCCGCCCCCCCCCCCGTCGGTGCGCGGGTTAACGACCATCAACACAGAGATCCACTAGAAAACCCCAGTTGTATTCATTTCAGTATAAACGATAAATGTCACAGGTCAGGTTAAATGTGATTTTCAGTTTGCGAGACTACAGACAGTTGTGCTATGTCGGCGATATAGATCAGTGTTGATTTTCTATCGAATGAAAATCGTCTAGCATAGACCTTGGTATACCGTATACCTACAGAGGTCATGATTTAGAATGGGTTCGTGAGGATTTCTCGCAGACCCTTTTTGTTGTCCAAAAATTCAGAACACGGCGTTACTTTTACGTCATTTACGGTCAACTGCTTACAATCTCTGACCTTTTTATCAGTATGCATAGAACCAATGCGAGAAGGGATGTGATCCTGCTGTTTATAAATTGTGCCATTCAAATACACGAGAATCATTTTCAAACACTTTCGGGTCTTTGAAACGGGCAATCCACTGATGCAGTTCTTCAAACACCAAGGACGAGACGAGCGTGCATTTGTCGCCACATCATCAAAAGCTCGTTCGGCGCGATCGCCCCGTGGCCCCACCTGTGTGCTGGAGTTGAGCGGCGGCACCAGTTGGTCCGCTAGCCCGCCGGTCGGCCGGTCCGCCGCCGGTGCGGTCCGCCGCTGACCGCTGCTGCTGCTGCTGGCGCGCGCCGCGCCGCTGCTGGTCCCCTGCTGCGGCCGGGACGACGGGCAGCAGCGAGAGACCGCCGGCGCCGGCCGCCGGCCGCTTTTGATCGCCGCCGCGGCCGCACGCAGGCGCCCGCCCGCTCGCCCGCCCGTCCCGCCGCGCCGCGGGGCGGGTGGCGGGTGGTCGCGCGGGACGGGGCGCCACCAGACGGGGACGTGTGCACTGAAGAGTCCCACTATCATGCGTCAACTTTTCTAGCACTTGCTACAAGGCGAAAATTTACACGTGAAATGCATTAAAAAACTTATTGGTGGCGCTCAAAGTCTTATCAGTGGTATTCGAGTCAAAACTGTAAAACGCTAATTGTTGCTATATCAGCCACTTTTCTCGACACAGCATTCGGTCCCTACTTGATTGAATTTCAAAACAAAGAAGCAAAGCAATCGACATTTCCTTTGGAAAGGCGGAAACCCTAAAAGTAAACGACTACTGAAAATTGTCAGGCGCCAAGCCAATAGGTAAATGAATCAAACAGGTGTCCAACGCCACGTCGTGAAATAGAATTATACCTACTCTAGCTAAACAATTCAAAATACCTGTTAATTTTTAGCACTTACGAATCATTCGTCGTGGTCAATTAAAAATGTTGTCTTATAGATCCCTGATTTGAAGGTTTCTAGAGTTTCTAGTTCATCTAGTTTTCATGCTTGTCCTGTTTTATTTCATCATTTATCTTTTTTCATTGATTTTTTAAGCCACGCCCTGCTGGGGGGAGGTTGTTTGAACCTCCCCCTGCGGTTTTTCGCAAATATCTCAAAAATGACGCGGAGCGCTGCCGTTTTTGGCAGACCAAACATATTGTAAAAATGTCAGACTAAGGTCGTTCAAGGCCAGGTCACTTAACTCGCGCCCCACTGGGGTCTGCGTATAACACGCCCTTATACTGGGGGGGGGGGGCTATTCATAGCCCCCCCCCCCCTCCTACCTCCGAAACTACTGGGCCGATCGTCAAAATTCAAACGGCGTCTGATAGCCCGGAAACACTGTCGAAAGAAACCTAATGTCATTGACCTCGAGGCCAACGATGACGTCACAGGTCAGGTCAAAGTAAAAATTATTAGCATTTTGGCTTGTTCCCGTTTTGGGCTCTGGCCGCCGTCTTACAAGTCAGATCAGGCTCATTTTTGGACCACACACTCGTGAACAGATGCTCTAGATAACCTGAGGGTACCAAACTTGTACTTGGATTTTCAGGTCAAGGTCAGGTCATCACAGGTCACGAAAATATTATATCATGCGTCGGTCACGTGACACATGTTTTATGGTCCATTTAGGTCCGAGATTTCGAATTTGATGTCGTCTGTGTCATTCGAGGTCATTTTGAATCGAATTTAGCTTAGGTCAGGACACTTTCAGGTCAAAAAAGGTCAAATTTGAAGTTGAAATTTTTCAACAAAAAAAGGTGTCTATTGGATGCAGTTTGAGCTCAGAAACACGATGGTGCTATTTATATTGGCGTACGATGTCAAATACGTGCTGAAAAATTGATTTGAAAAATAATAATTGTGAATTTTTTGCAATAATGCGTAACACTTGGCTGTTTTTGAAGATATTTAGCTAAAACTTGCTAGAGCTAGTCATAATAATGCGTTCTATCACATATATTCCTTTTTTCGAAAAGTCAAAAACTTTTTGAAAACATGTAAAAATATAAATTTTGGATTTTATTATATTATATTTTCCAAATTTTCAAAATTTCGAAAATCTGAGACAGCAGTTTGATAGCGCAGTCTATTCTGAGTCCTCTCATGTGCAAAGAAATTGGATCTAGCTTAAAAACTGAGCTCTTGGGAGCGATTGCCGTGGTTCAATGTTTTGCGTCGAACATTAAATCACTCTGACGTCATTTCCGGCCGACCTATAGTAGTTACGAAGTTCAAATATTGACACAAGGTGTCAAATTGATGTAGCCTAAGGTACTGAAAGTTTGGCGTCGATACGTCAAGCGGTTTGGAAGTTATTGCAGAAAAACGGGAGGGGGCTATGAATAGCCCCCCCCCCCCCCCCCCAGTGGGGCGCAGGTTAAGGTGATCAAGTGACAAGGCCAGGTCAAGTGACCAAGTGACAAGGTTCAAGGCCAGGTCAAGTGACCTACCTCATAAAAGTTTCAATGTCTGCAATAGCTGCACCGAGTGACAGATTGATTTGAAACTCTCAGCGATTGATAAGAGAAATAGTATGTAAGAAATGCTTATCTCGTAATTTTGATATCGGTAACCTATATAAGGTTAGGTCAATTTTGCGACCTCCCCATTACATGTAAGTCAATGGGAGAAAATTGAAATGCGTCTCGTTTGGACGGAAGTCATTCTAAAAACCCTCAAACAAGAAATTACAAGTAAATTTAACATACTGAGCATGACGAGACAATGGCACCCGTGACCCCTCTTTATGCCCCTGAGGTCACATCAGGTCACGAATGGCATCTAACCGTTTTTTTTTTCGCGAATAACTTTTGATATGGGCATGCTAGAGCAATGAAAACGCCTTGTATGTGTTCAGCTCGACAATACGGATCGACTGATATGCAACATGACCATTTCCGGTCAGGTCATGATCTTGACCTGAGGAAAACTTTTCGAGTTAACCTTTCAAGGTCAAATTACAGGTTATTCGATGCGTCTTGACGAGAGGAACACGATGCCGGTACACGTAAGCTCGTACAAGGCTTGAGTACAAGGTACTCAGGCAAAAGTTATTGCAGAAAAAACTGTTGCTTAGAAGGGGGAGTGTTTAAACACCCCCTCCCCCAGCAGGGGGTGGAAATACAGGACCCTCAGCGGGGCGTGGGTTAAATTAAATGAATGGGTACTTGTGTTCGGGTGCGTGTTGAGATCTTGACTTCGCGTGTTAGTGGGCGGTCGGCCTGTAAGCGATTTTTTCGAAAAAGTAAACATTATAAATACTCAACAGTCCACATCATAAGTATATCACGACCCTTATTTTTACCTTTGAGTCATGATAGGTTGAAAGAGGTCGCTAAGAATTTGCGATTAAAAGACTCCATATAGAAGCACTTTAGAGCGAAAAAGCATTGGGTAGATTGTTTGAAAAATACTGATGCAGTGATTTGCAGCATGATCCTTTTTCGGCCAGGTCTTAAACTTGATCCGTGGTCAGATTTGTAGTTCAACACTGAATGATAGGGCAACCGGCAATGTGACGCGTCTCGACAAGGGTGATGAGAAGAACCTGGTAAAGTTATTCAAATCATAAAACAGCGTTTGTTCTAAGCTTTTGCACCCTGTATGCCAAATGGGTGCGCTGAGGTCAAATCTGAAGACACATGGGAAAATTGCCAAGAGCTATCGGTAGCTACTTACGCGATGTTTTGGCTAATTAGTTCAAATGTTTGCGAACAATCGAAAGACAAATAATGGCTGATTAGTGATTATGTCACCCTCATTTGTCAAAGTGAATGCATTGCAAATTATTTTTGCTTAGCCCTGACAGCATGCTTCATGTTAATTGCTCCAGGAGCATGTTTGTTTAGGGAGGGACGTCTACCAGCAATTGTGCTTTGCGACCGTTGGGAGCTTCAACAATGTTCCTCATTTCACTGCGTGTCCACAAATAGTTTCATCGAACATCCATTCCTATGTATGCATGAGCGCGTGACAAGTGCACCTGTATTGTCGCTAGCATAAGTCATGTTGATTATATAATCGTCTATGAATAGCTCTGTAGCCTTGAGGAACTACTGGATCATCAATCACCACTCGCCACCCACACAGCCGTGTCGGGCCATACATTCCACCAACAATGCTATCGATGCGCGCTAAAAGGACGTCATGTCTCAATGAGCGATAACGAGTGTCTGCATTTGGCCAGGCGGTGCAGACGGCGTGCCCTCTTCTGTCGTTTTCTGCTCGACGTGCGGCTATTAATACCCCTGTCGGCGGGTCAGGTGGTCAGTTCCCACCGGGTGCTGGTAACAATACCACCGGCGACACCCGCTCGCCGCCGCCCCGCTGACACCTGACAAATGTCAGTGCGTGAATGAGTTCTCACACCAAGAGACCCCGCGGAAAATACATGGACGCATCGGGTATAGGTAATATGAATGTATGCGTGAGTGAGGCTGGTGAGGGGCGATGTAGAGCTGAAATGATAAACATCGGAAAATTTCATTTCGCTGCCGAAATGTGTCGTCAGAACAATTAGCTGATAAATTGCATGTTCGGCGTGTTGCAAGTCGTTTTCAAGCATGTTTTTATTGCTCATATCGCTTTAAATTAACCAGGTTAACATTAAAAAAGTGATTGTCCGCAGATTAGGACACAAATCTTTCATTAACCAGCCGGGCCCGGGAGTAATCCTAACCACCGCTGTCCGAGGGACCCCCCCCCCCCCTGCTGTGTCCAACTCCGAAAAAGGGGAAACAAAAGCGGTGCCGAACGAAAGGTCTCAGCGAGAAGATTCTAAAGCACCTAAAATTTTGACCTGAAGTCACTTTTCAATGGCAGAGGTCAAGATCAAACTTCAAAGGAAAAACTGCACAAGTGTAGTGATTTTAGCCTTAACGTTCCAAAGGATGGCAAGAAGCATGAAACCGGCCAGAGGTCGAAAAAACAGTTAGACTTTCTCCAACCGACCTAAAATTTGCTCCACAAGAAAAATGATTTGTTGCACAGCCTAAAGCACGGGTCAAGAACTTGAATCCCTCTCGCGTTTCTATGCACACTGAGCACCAATACAGTTAGCGTCAGACAGCTTCAATGCGCTGAAACAAAGGCGTGCAAGAGTTTATGCCGTGCCCGTGCTTCTAAGTTCTTACTGTTCGGCGCGTAGATGTCGCTGGATATCGCGGCCGGACCGCAGCGACATCTATTCCACGGACTGCACGCTCTAAAAAACTGCCACCTTCTACAACTGCTGTAAGGGCGAAATTCCGTTCGTGATAACGGGAAAAGCAGCCTTTTTGACACCGACTTGCTTCAGGAAGATGGAAGTAACTGGGGGCAAGTCAGCCAGGCCGTGGGTAGGTTAGATTAGAAGGTACCACGGGCGTAGGAACGTCATGAAAAGTGGGTGGGCCACCCTGTCAAGGGGCCTCCTTTTCCAGGGGGCCTCCTATTTTCAGGGGCCTCCAACTTTTGCCTCGTCCTGCTGGCTGCTTTCAAGTATGACCTCCAAATCTAGCTTCTGAGATCGGGCAGATTTACCCAGGGGCGTAACCGCT